CTCTCTCTCTCTCTCTCTCTCAGGCACATCCAGCAGACCCACGCACCTGCAAGCCCCACCTCATCCGCTTCCCCACCCTGCCCTGCCTGCGAGCCTCGCCAAAGCGCTGGGACAGCTGGCGATGATCCCTGTTGGACCCGCCCTCGGCTCCGTCGGACGCACCCACAAACGCTTGAATGCCGTGGGTCGCAGTGGGTTGGCAGCGGGCATTGGCGTTCCGTGACCCCCGTCCTGCGTGAGCCTTTCGGGACGGGAAGAGAGGGATCTGCAGCTTGATCTTGATCTTGATTTTGATTCTCAGCAGGTCTTCGTTGCTTCGACGCGAGTGTGCGTGTGCTGCCAACTGCAGGGCTCTGGATGCAGCTAGCTGCACCCACGCGGATCCGCCACGCCATCGCTGCCAGTCGAACTGCACCTCAAAATCTTGTCTCGGCGAGTCCGGAGCGAGCCGCCGCTGCCGCCACCAAAATACCCAAGAAAACGATTTTTAGCAATTTCTTTTGGTCGAGAGGCAGGCCTCCAAGATCGAGCCGTGCGCCTTCAAGAGAGGCCGCGGGCAAATTCACGCATCTGAAACTCGGATTGCAAGCCACCACCCGATTCATCTCTCGTGGGGCAGGCATCAGAACGATTAGTGGGGGAGCATTGTCACATCGGCATAGGTGACATGGTCGAAAAATCGCACGCCCCAAAAAAGTGTTACTTTCGAGCGTCGTCGCGTTCGCTTGGCGCCTGCATCTTTCGGTCGTTCTGCGAAGAAAAAGAAGGCGGGCGTGCGTCGATGCGTGCCGTGTATGCGTGTGTGATTTGGCGGCAGAGCGCAGCACATGCATCCTCGTCATGCTCAGCAGCTCAGCAGCTCAGCACCAGCAAGTGCTTCTTCCTATTGTCACATCGGCGAGCATCCGAGCTTGTCGCGCGCGCACGTCCATCATCTCAAAAGTCGATTGCCACGCCACCTCCCAACCAGCCTCCTCCGTCCACTCAGGATACCCACGGTCGTCGGCTGGCCTCCTCTTTCGCTCCCTCACCGCTCACGCCCGCCCGAGCCTGTAGCAAGCTGTCAGACAACACTCGCCTGCTTCTGCTCAATTGTCCGCAGTCAAGATGGCCGACTCGATCTACGCACCCCACAACCAGCACAAGCTCGACGCCGCAAGAGCCGCAAATACGACTGCCGATTCACCGGCCTCCCCGGCCTCCCCCGCGCCTCCTGCTGCCACAAATGCGAGCGACGCCGATGCTGCTCAGACCCCCTCTCCGCAGCCAAACCAACACGACCATGCCGAAGACCGCCCGCATCCTCACCTTACCCGGCCTCTGCTCTACATCAGCGGCGTCGACCCTGCCATGACCGACAAGGAGCTCGCTGGCCTCGTCTTTGAGAAAGTGCTGCCCGTCCGACTCAAGATCGACCGCAACGTCGCCCAAGGCCAGACCGCCAGCGGCACCGTCGAGTTTCAAACGCTCGACAAGGCAGAGAAGGCCTACGCCATCGTCCGTCCGCCCTTCCAGCTCTCCATCGATGCAGCCGGCGCCGACGCCGACCCGGTCGCTTCCGCAAAACCCAGGCTCATCAAGCAGCTCCCCGCCAACACCGACGATGCGCTCGTCTACGACCTCTTCCGCCGCTTTGGTCCGCTCCGACGCGCGCACTGCCTGCTCACCAACCCCGCAGGCGTACACACCGGCTTCAAGGGTATGGCCGTGCTCGACTTTTACTCGGAGCAAGACGCGCAGCTCGCACAGACCGAGATGCACTGCGCCGACGTAGGCGGCAAGACCATCTCGGTCGCCCTCGACACCGCCGTCCGCAAAGTGAGCTCCAGTCTCGGCGAGATCCGCGCCTCGGCCCAGCCCTTTGTGCCCGGCAACGGCTTGAGCGCCGCTGCACCCTCATTTGCCCCCACCGTCTCCGGCTCGCGCTCCGTCTCGGCTGGCTCCTCGGCCTCCATCTACGCCACTCCTGCCGCCGCGGCGACGCACGACAACCACGCCGGCGCTGCTCCCAAAGGCGCACGCTCGCTGCAGTACTCGAACCAGGCATCCACGTATGTCGACCCGTGCAATCTGTTCATCAAGAACCTCGACGGCGCCATCAGCTCCAACGACCTGTTTGACACGTTCAAGGCCTTCGGCCACATTGTCTCGGCGCGCGTCATGCGCGACAACGACGGCAAGAGCCGCGAGTTTGGATTCGTCAGCTTCGCCACGCCCGACGAGGCGCACCATGCGCTCCAGGCCATGGACAACGCCAAGCTCGGCGCGCGCAAGATCACCGTGCGTCTGCACGAGCCCAAGACGATGCGCCAGGAGAAGCTCGCCGCGCGCTTTGCGGCCGCACACGGCGAGACGAGCGAGGCGGCCGACGCGTCGGGCAGCACTGGCAACGCGCGTGCGGCCGAGCCGACAGCCAAGGCGGACAAGCGCCAGAGCAGGAGCTACTTCCAGGCAGGCGTACCGGCTGATGCCAACGGGCTGGCGGACGAGGAGCAGCTGCGCTCGCTCACGGGTGTCGTGCGCGACGAGCTGCTCTCGGGCGAGTTCACGCGCCGCGTGCAGAAGCTGACGTCGGTCGAGGAGGCGCAAGTGGACGGCATCGTTGCCGAGCTGCTCAAGCTCAGGCTGGGCGAGGCAGTCGAGGCGCTCAACAACCCCATCTCGCTCGTACAGAGGGTCAACGAGGCTCGCGAGCACCTGCCTGCTGCTGCTGCTGCGGCGGCGGCGGCAACGGCGCCCGCCGCCTCGGCCAGCGGTGCGCTGTCGGCAGACAAGCCGGGTCAGCTGGGCGTGCAGACGCAGCGCAGCGTCTCGAGCACCTCTTCCATCGGCGGCGACGGTACGGCGGCGGCATCGGCCAAGGAGCGCGAGCGTCTGCTCAAGGCGGTGCAGTCGGTGACCGAAGCGGGCGCACCCGTCGAGGACATCACCGACATGCTCGCGAGCCTGCCCAAGAAGGACCGTGCGCTGGCGCTCTTCAACCCGGAGTACCTGCGGCAGAAGGTGGACGAGGCCAAGGACATTATCGACATTACCGACGACAGCGGCGAGGACCTCACGCCCGCACGCGCCTCCGAACCCACGCCCGCTGCTGCACCCACTGCAGCCGCTGCTGTCTCGGAGCCGGCGGCGGCTACGACCGCGAGCAAGGGCGCGTCGAATGGCAAAGAATACACGCTGTCCACGCTGGCGTCTCTTCCCGCCGTGGAGATCGTGCGCCTTGCGAGTGGCGGAGCGATTCGCGGGGTGGAACTGCGCGAGCCGGACGCCGCGGTGGTGGCCGCGACGGACGCGTTCATCGACTCGCTGCAGGGCAAGGCGGCGCACGACCAGAAGCAGAAGCTGGGCGACCAGCTGTTCAAAAAGGTGCGCAGCTTTGGCGTCAAGGGCGCACCCAAGATCACCATCCACCTGCTCGACTCGGAAGAGCTGCGTGCGCTGGCGCATCTGATGAACGAGTACGACGAGGTGCTGCGCGAAAAGGTGAACCAGAAGGTGGCGGCGGGGCTCAACAAGTAGATGCACTCCGGTAGAATGGTCAGGGGGTGTCGTGAATGCTCGAGTTTCCTTTCCTCCCAGTGCAACATGAGATGGCCGAGGGGATGCGGATGCGCAAGTTGACGGCCTTGCGCACAGAGCGGTGGGTGGAGTTGCGGGTGTGAGGTGCGGCTATGCAGTGGAGGGGAGGGGTGACAAATTGGCGCGCGCGCGCGTGCGGGTGGTGGAGGTCCGAAGGGGGGGATTTTTGACAGCCGATGGTGTGATTTGGTCATCCAACTCGCCCCATCTCTTGTTGCTGCACCACCATCTCTTTCCATTTGGGCGACATGTCGTCTGCGCGGGACACGTCTGTGACGGAGCCACTGCTTTCGCACCCAGAGGCAGAGATAACGCCCCTCGAGATGGTTCGGCACGAGAACCCGCGCGCGATCGGCGTGCAAGCCTCTGCGCTCCTCTTTGTCGGCGTCGTCTGGTCGATCGTCTTTTCCTCCTTCTCTCCGCTGTCCCTACCCCTCTTTGGATTCCACCCGCTCATCCAATCGCTTGCGATCCTTCTGCTGGTCCAGGCGATCGTCGTGCTGCAGCGAACGTCGCCTTCCCAACCCGCGGCGAAGAAGTCGGCGTTCAGCGCGCACCAGTGGCTCAACCTGCTGCTGGTGCTGCCTCTGTTCACGGCGGGCGCAAGCATCATGTGGTATCTGCACGACCAGCCGGGGACGGCGCACTTTATATCGTACCACGGCATCCTCGGGACGGCGGTGGTGGTGGCGGCGTGGGCACAGGCAGCTCTGGGTGCGGCGAGTGTGTGGGGCAGGGGAAGGATGGTGGGTGGAGAAGCGCAGGGGAAGAAGCTGTGGAAATGGCACCGGCTGTCCGGCTATGTGCTGGTGGTGCTGTTTGCAGTGACGGCGGTGTTGGGCGTGGTGGAAACGACGTGGGCGAGCAAGAACGCCTCGATGGCTCAGACGCTGTTGGTGGTCGTAGCACTCGCACTGGCCGTGGTGGCCCTCGCCATCCGCATCCAGAAAAGCAAATTGCCCAAGCTGTAACGCACACAACTGACGCAAGGAATGGCATTCGCAAAACAAGGCGCGGTACTAAAGGATCGAGGGATGCCGGGGTGAAACTTGAGGAGAGTTTGGCAGCTGGGCTTACTGCTTGGAGCCCCACAGATGGGCGAGGTCGAAGAGCGGGATGTTGAAGGGGAAGTCGGTGGCAGCCAGACACAGGTGGAGCAAGATGTACAGACCGCCTAGACACGCCACGAAGCCACAGGCGCCCGCGGCGGTGACCAGTTTGGCCGCCTCGCTCGCTGCGCCCTCGCCGAACTTGAGGTATGCGCCGCCCAGGGTGCTGAAGGCCAGCGCGACAAAGAGCAGGATCCAAACCAGCACCACGTTGGTCCTGAACGCGGCGAAGGTCAGGAAGTACGTGTACACGGCCCACCACACGAGATAGTAGCCAAAGGGCACATAGTACGTTGCGGCACTTCCACCCTCTGCTGTCAACAGGGACGTCTGAACCGCATTGCGCGGGTCAAGGAATCCTCCGAGCGTAAGCCAGAATGTGCCGAAGCTCGTAAAGACGAGGGCGGGGAAGGTGTTTCCGATGATGAACTCGAGGATGCCCGCGACGTAGAGTGCCATACCGCCCATAAAGTAGTAGGCGCCAATCAAGGCGAGGAGCGAGTTGGCAGATGCCCCGCGCCATCCCATCAGACAGCACGAGGTCGGGCCAAAGGTGATGACGAACGAGACAATGCCCAGTGCAGTCGGGTTGCCCAGCGTCTTGACGAGCCCCAGCTGCTTCTGAGACTTGATCCCCGGCTGAAGGTACAGTTCTAGTTGACCATGCAGCCCGCTTCAAGTCAGTACCGTGTCGCGCAGAGAGCGGCGGCAAGGGGGAACGACGTACCTTCGAATTGCTGCGGAGTGAGCGTGACCGAGATCTGGCGACCGAGGTCGTGGCCGTTGGTTCCATCGGCGTGTGTGTACGTCGGGTGCTCGGTCGACGCCACCTCTGCCTCCTTTGTAGCCATGTTGAACGGAAGATCCTACTCTCGGTGGTCTAGCAGGCTTGGTTGGGATTTGCAAAGACGTCGACAGAGAGGGTTTCGCAATGTCTGGTCTTTGGGATCTTAGATGTGCCAGTGGAGATGCGGGGGTGGGGGGATGGCTTTATATACTGCCTCTCCTATGGGCTGAAGGCTTGGCTCGAGCGGCATCGCATTGGGCAGGGTGGCAGCTTGGCACGCCCAACAGCTCATCGCCTGGGCAGCGCTACAAGGGGCTGCTGACTTGTGTACGGCATTGCTAGCGGGTGTAGATGCTCGCGCGCGCGCGCGCGCGCGCGCGGGGGGCATGGTCAAGCTCCCAATGCGGGGCCGTGCCAAGCCTGCTCGGCGCTACTGGAGGTGGAGCTTGCGGCAGGCACTTGTCAAACCAGCGCCTTCCCCCCCCCCCCCC